CTTGAACTAAATGAGTGCAGAGTTCTCAATAAGTGTCCAGAATGTACATTTCTCTAAAAGTGACTCCAACAGTATATTTTAATAATCAAATCCCTATGACAGTATCAGAGCTAGATACACCAGGAGAAATTGAGCACTCAGATGTCTTATGTGTCAAAGTCCATTGTTTATGGGTCACTGGTATTCACGTGGCTTCCACTTAACCCCTTAGCATGGAACTGAACCCAGGTCTCTCACCACCTTGGCTGGGTGCTGACATTTTTCAGCCTTCTCAGTAAAATGTGGCTTCTTTGTGGAGGGTATATGCAGATAGATGAGGTTTATCAGAGAAGGTCTCAGCCCGAGGCGAGAGGGAATGCCTGTTTTAGGGATGCTGAGGGAGCTTTTCTGTGAGATGGACCTTGAGCAGGTCAGCAGTGCCAGACCTCAGGCAGTTAGGCTCACACCCAGCCCCTGAAGCACGGGGTCTATCTGCAGAAATGTCCCCAGAGGGGAGTTCAGCTGCTTGTAAGGGGCAGAAAGGGTTTTGTGAACAAGTCAGACCAAGGGATGGAGACAGTCAGCACCAGTGGTGGAGCGTAGGGGCACTGCCTTCTCCTTGTGCATTGAAACAGTGCAGGAGGATCTCCTCCTGTTACATTTTGATTTAGGAACGTAGAGGAACGAGGTTAATGCGTTTATTCAACGTGCCTGTTGAAAATATTTTAAGACTGCCTTCTCTGTGTGACTATCTTTGACTGTTCCCAGCTCCTTCGGTTCGGGTCCGCATCAGCGGGAACGCAATTTCCAGGCATTGTTTCAGTCTGGAAATGAAACAATTTTCATTAATGGAAACCTGGTTCTCAAGCAGAACAATTAGACCCACTTCAGGTTGAAAAAAAGATAAAAGCATGCTAATTTGGATGGAGGACTCTTCTTTCAAGGCAGCCAATTGAGTCATCAGCCTGCCACCCACCTGACCGTCTGACAGGTAATTAGGAGGTAGTCCTCTTTTTGTGTGGAGTGTGTGTGTGTAAAGCTCCCCACGCTGGTGTCACTGCCCGTTGGGACTTCCAGAGGAAGGAGCTACTCGGTGACAAGAGTGAGGACAAGCACGTTTGGCAGAGGGTCCCCCACGAACCGACTCCTCTTTTGATTTAGCCCGTTATGTTTTGTCTTTTAACAGCTCCCTGAAGTTTCTGGCAGGCCGGTCGTCATGGCAGACCTGGGCTGCCAAAAAGCCAGCGACTGCACGGTCTCCAGGCTGCTCAGCGTGGTGGAGAGCGAGCTGAGGGCAGGGAGGGACAAAGGAGACCCCACGGAGAAGCAGCTCCAGGTTGTCTTGGAGGATGCCACGCTCTGGCAGAGGTTCAGGGAAGTCACCAACGAGATGATCGTGACCAAGAACGGCAGGTGAGTGAGCTGCTCGGCACCGTGTGGACACAGCCAGGGGGGGTAAGGAGTTGAATAGTGAATTGCAGACTTAAAGATTTCTCCCTGCAGCCTTGCAGTCCCCTAAAACCAGCTGTGAACAGAATGGGGTGTCCTTGCTTCTTTTTGGTCAGTGCTAAACCGTTCCTTCCACCCTTTATTTTTTCCTGCTGGAGAAACGTTCACAACTTAAGGCTGCACAAGAAGGAAACTTGGCAAGGGAATAGATGGTAACACTCAAAATCTTCTCAGCGACTTCTTGTCCTAATAATCATCAGCCTTTTGTTAGGGAGTCCTTACCCGTGGACCTCATGTCACTGCACAGAAGCAGACTGGTGGGGTTAGACCCAGCTGCTCTCCGTGCCTCTCCCTGGCCTTGGGTGTTAACAGTTTGTACAAGCAGCCTGTCCTGGAACAGGGTACAATAAAACTGTACCCTGCATGGTGTGTGTGTGTGTAGTGACATGATGGTGTTGCTCTGTAGTTGTTGCTGGTGCCCTTAGAAAAGTGTGGAATATGGGTTAACAAACACAGAGTTTGTGGGTGATATTACTGCTGACTGGAGCTTGACATAGGTGAAAAGAGTTAAAAGGAAAAATCTCATCTCTTGGCTCAGCAAAGTTATTCTATTGAGAGAACAGCCACCTTCCCAAAATATCTGTTGGTGTAACACTGCTTGTTGCCATCCTGATGCCTCCTATTAACCTACAGGGCTAGAAATTTTCTGCTGAGTTTCTCTTTGCACTGAGGAGCTGCTTTTTGCTTCGTTTAAATTACTTGAAAAACTGCTACTAGGCTACAGCAAACTTCAGAGTGGACTTTCACCTACTGCACGTAGCTTTAAATGACTCCTTAGCAACATAAGTGACCAAAAATGAGGTAAGATAGGTTTGCCTCCAATTAGTTAAATGGGTACAAAGTATTGCACCTTACCAACAGGGTTTTTTCAGTCTCTTTCCTCTCAGCTAATGTAAATCAGGATGGCACAGTGATACCAGTTCTCTCTGAACTGTCTAGCTGAGTGCATAGATAAGATCTTCTTCTGATGATGATAAGGGAATCTTTTATAACTTGAATATACCTGGTTACTTTTTATTTTATTGTGTAAGCTGCCTTATTTTTCTGTATTCTAACATATACACTCCTCATCTGCATGATCCTAATTTTCCTAAAGCTGGTGACAGCACTAGTAATGTCACCAGGGGCAGGAGTAGGTTCTTTATGATCAAACTACAGCAATCTTAAAGAATTATAGAAGTGTGTCAGTCCTCTGCATAAATCCTTTTAATGAAGTTGCTGTGGCATCAGGGACTATGATAGAGGATCTCTTATGCTTCTGAAAGCATCTGCCTTAACAAACATATCAGCACACCAAAAAAAAAAGGAAACACAGACAGTGTCCTGCAGCAAAGCTCCCTGAACAATTCCTGGCTGTTCAAAAGGAGACAAACTTGAGAAGGTTTCCTATGAGTGCTGATTTTGTTTTTTTTCCAGGTTCAACCTTCTTCTAATTGTCTCCAGAGGGATTCTAAGCAGAAAAAATATTGATTTAATTCTGCTGCTGCTTCTTAGATGAGTAGAACTCACCCAGTCCCTCTTGCTGAAGGGTATATGAACACTTTTGAAAACTGGGTTCTAAGATGAACAGGGAGAGCCAATCTGCCTGTGAAAACCAAGACAGTCTGTGCAGACACAGACAAAATTCAGAGCAAAATTCAGAAATTAAATGGAAACCTGATACAGGAGCATCCCAGAGAATGAAAGGCTGATTGATTAGTGATCCTCAAGTGTCAAATTCTAGCCTGCACAATTCTGTCTGCTGCAATTGAGTCATCTCTAATTGGTACAGAGGGTCCCAAAATGTCATAATTAGATGAGCCAACTTCAGTGTTAACACATGGATGTCTCCATGGCTGTATCCTACTTCATTATACTAATCACCTGCCAGAGCAATGTGAGTAGGTACACAGGGAAGACAGATATATTCTGAAAAGGATAGATATTAGTGAAATTCAACTGCATGCTGTATCCCAAAGTGACATATCACACAGTGGGTGTGGCTGATACAGTGGGAATCACTCTCCTATTTTTTGATTTATTGTATTCAATTGACTTTTCAATCTCAAACTCTGTTTTCTGCTTGAGCAGGTTTTCCCTCTCAGGGTTTACATCATATTAGCTGTGCAGTGTCCTGGCACTTTGCAATCCACTTTGCTGCCTGGAGGCAGGAAGGTGCTGCTGTTCTGGAGGCAGGAAGGTTCTGCTGTTCTGGAGGCAGGAAAGTGCTGCTCTTCCCCTCTGCATATGGGGAGAATTCCCAGTGGATCAGCACAGGCAAACCTGAGTGGTGGAAAAGGAGCCCTTCCCAGGCTTAAATGCTAAAGCAACTTCACTGGTTACTACACATTCAAGTTTGATATCAAACATCTTCCCACTCAAGTTCTGTACTGTCTAGTAATTGTAGCAGATCTGCTCTAAATAAATTGAAGAGGCTGAAGTGCTCAGCTCCTGCAGTAATGGAGGTCACGTGTGTACCTACCTGATCACTGAAACAAACATTCTGACTGAAAGAAATTTGGGGAAATCATCATCTGCCACGCTAAAAGACAGATAAATGTGATTTTAACAGCAAAGCCACTTAATCAGCAGAATGAGTGAGGTGATGAGTTTTCCATCATTAAAATCTGTGCAGTCAGGACAGGCTGGTCCAAGTGAAGTGGGGATTAACTGTGTGTGAAGCAGGTTAGCTCAGGGAAGTGCTGTCACCTCTGTGATGCACAAGGTTGGAGTTGATGATGACTGTGTTCTCTTCTGGCATCAGTCTATAGGTCTTTTGGGGATAAACCTCTCAAGTGTGAGAGGCAGAGAAATCTGCATTGTGGGCAGAGGGATTAACAATCTGTATGCAACGTGGAGGGTTCTGAGAAAGCTAGTGAAATTCAGTTTTCATGTGGATTAATTTTGCCTTCCACTTCAATTTCAGCTAAATATCTAAGTGTGGTACTTTGAAGACTGACAGTAGGAAGTCTGGGAGGTGCAGGGAGCAATGCATCCATATTTTTTATTGCATCCCAATTTGATGGCTGGTGACACATTAAATGTAGCATATAAAACATTGCCTAAACTCCTATTTAATTAGAAAGATCACAGTTCAATCTTTCCCAGTGTTGCCCTGGCTCTACATCACCAGGTATTCATATTAGATGAAAAATCTCAAATTTCTCTGAGTCTTTTCCTGTCAGCAGGAGGTGCTGGATGTACACAGCAAGAACTATGTGCAAGTGTCCAGAAAAGCAGGTGATGAGTGGGATGTGGTAGGAGATTGTTGGCAGCCTGCAGTTGGGTGTCACAGGATGATTTGCCTGGAGGGACAGAGAATTCTGGTGTCCCCTGAGAGAGTCTGGAGTTTGTTTCCTTCTTGTGTAGTTTGGACATCTGGCACTGGTACCTACCTAAGCCTAGAGAGGGATCTTACCTTGTAGACATGGACCTCAGGCAATTGTTGTGGTTCCTTGGTGTAACCAGGCTCTCTGTACCTGCAGAGAAAAGGAGTTTAAAGATTAAATGTGGCACAGCAAAATGGCATTTTCCAGGAGAGATCAGGACAGAGCTGCTTGGGGTAGGGAAGGCTCTTATTCATGTAGGAGGAATGTGACAGCAATAATAATCCTCTGCAGTAACCATGTGTAGTCCTTGACAAGCTGAGAAATGTAATGACCAGGATGCTTCTGTTGGGACACTCCTCTGTTCTGCTGAGCATATGTTTTTCCTAGTTCCTGAAATGGTTAGAGCCCTACTAACTCTATTGCTGCAGGCTTGCAGGCACTGAGATGCCAATTCAAAGCTGTGTGGTGTGGATCCCAAAAACTGGGAGAGGCAGTTAACTGGTGAAAGCCTAGCTGTGAGCTGCTGCAAGTCTCCTCTGTGAAAGAAAAGATAAAGGAGATGGAGAAAAGGTGACGTTGGACAACTAAGCACAAAAGGAGCATTTCCCCAAAACTAAACAAAGGCAGGATTTCAGTTTTCAGTGCCCAAGATGTTGGGAAGGCTGGCTGATAGACTTTTAGAGCTTAGTAAAGGACAATATTGTTTTTAAGGTGGAACTAAAAGAAGAAGCTGATCAAGCTGAGATCAGGGAATATGGAAGAGTGGGACCAAGTTACTGGAGGAGCTACCAAGTGTAAGGATTTTAACCAAACTTCTCAAAGTGGAGATTTAGGTAATGGTGGTGGCACATGAATACTTGCACTTAAGAAAAGGCAAAACCACATTTCAACTAACTGCAGACTTCTAAGTATATTCCTGAATTAAGAATTCATGATGTATTTTGAAGGAAAGAGTAATGAAATTTATAGAAGACAATGAAAAATGAGATTAAGAGACATTTTATTAAATTTAAGTCATGGCAGACTAACCTGACACAACTTTTGATAAAATCAAGAAGTATTTTTAGACAAGGAAAATGTAGCAGACTTTGGAATAGTGCTACCTGGAAACAATTACTTGAGTAGGAGATGATGTGAAGAACCACATCTTGTGATGTGACACAAGAATCACAGGATAGGACAGAGGGGAGTGACTGATTTTGCTCACAAAGGTTGTAGAACATGACTATCCCTTCGAAGGAAGGGAGGAAAACCTTTTTTATAGAGTAGTGTGGCAAATAAATTTAACTGGAGTCTGAGTACCTGGCTGGAATTATGTCCTGGTTGCTGGAGACTGCAGGATGATTTCAGAGGATACATCCAGCATCAAAGTGGGGACTCAGCCACTGGGCAGAGTACAGGAGCCTATGTCAGAGAAATCTGAGCACCAAGGACCTGCACTTTGTAATGGGATTAAAGCAGTGAATCTGTGATTCACCTGCACCTCCTCAACCTGCTCAGTTTTGTTCATGCCTTCTTGTCCCACGCCTGAGGATGTTTTTAACATGATCCCCTGGGCTCAGCTGACAGTTGGTGATATTCATACCTGGGCGCATTGACCTACCCTGTGAGCATCTGCTCACAGACTGAGGAGAGCCTTCCAAAACCCCTTTCCAGTGGTCTCTCTCTGTTGTTTTTCCTGGCCAGGAGGATGTTCCCTGTTTTGAAGATCAGCGTGTCAGGCCTGGACCCCAATGCCATGTACTCCTTCCTGCTGGACTTCGCCCCGACGGACGGGCACCGCTGGAAGTACGTCAACGGGGAGTGGATGCCAGCTGGGAAACCAGAACCCCCGAGCCACAGCTGCGTCTACATCCACCCAGACTCCCCCAACTTTGGGGCCCATTGGATGAAAGCTGCCATTTCCTTCAGCAAAGTCAAACTTACCAACAAGCTCAACGGGAGTGGGCAGGTACGGCCTGATGTTTCCCCCGTACACCTCTTGGCTTCGGTCGCAAGCACCTACCAATCAAGAAATATCAAGGGTGCATTTATGTAATTATGGAGGCCCTTACAGGCCTCTTCACCCACAGATGCCAATTATTCTCTGGAGGCCAAATGTAAACAGGAATAAACAGGACTTAATTGGCGCTTTCAGATTTTAATGGACTTCTTGATGTTAAGAGAGACAGAGTGCTGTGGTTTACTTAATCATCAGGGAGCTTTTTCAGAGTTGGTCTTGTACGCTGGGGATTTTTACACAGGACTTCAGAGAAGGGGGGAAAAAATGGTCACGGGTATTAGGTTTTTTTGTTGTGTTCCCCCATGATGTTTGGTGTAAGTGGAATGTTGGCAGGAGTCAGATAGCAGAATAAAAGGCTGCTCCTAAATGAAATAATTACTATGTCTGCTTCTGCATCATGATAATTATCAATATTCTATTGAATCAGCTTTGGCCTTTGGAAAGAAACCACATGTACCAGAAATAAGTGACTTTCTCTTTGAACCCCTTAAAAATGCAAACAGGGAAATTAGTTATGTTTTGTGTTCTATTTTTGATGATGCATCCAAAGGTAAAATGTTGCCCAAGACCTTTTGTTCACTTGTTTGTTTTTTTCTACAAAACTCCTACACTGGATGATACTTGTCAGCCCAGAATCAATTTCTTTCATCTAAATATTATACATTTTCTATCTGTTATTTCCATTAGGTTTGTGAGGTACATTCATAAGCCTAGTACCCTAATTAGGTAGGAAATTATCTCAGTTTTTACAGGCTGAAGAACAGAAAGATGATTTGAGTTATCCCAAGTCACACATGGAATCAGCACACAAGAGTCACTGTGGAGCATAGAACAGGATCTGAATTTGCAAATTCTTGTCCTGCATCCAGGACCCCAGAAAAGTCAAAGGCCTCAGAAAAGTATGCACGAGGGTAAAAAAGTTACAGGAAATCAACCTTGGAGGGTCAACAAGACCCTGGGGAAATAAACAGGGGAGCACAACGTGTATATGTGGTGAAGAGGAAAAAAAGTAGGAGGTAGGGGAGGAAAAGCCATATGAGAAACAGAGCCCAAAGTCAGTAAATAAGTCACTAAATAACAAATGACTGAAGCTCCCCTTGTTTTCTTCTGAGAACTTGACAACAATTCTTGAGAACTGACAATTCTGTGCTGCAGCCTCTCCTTTTGTGGTGTGATTAGAAAGTAGTAGGTGTCTAGAAGTGTTTAATGCTAGTGGCAGTGTTCTTTCAGATGTGTGTATATATACACACTCATGTATGCACACAGCACTTGCCAAAGTACAGATTTAAAAAAGAATTAAAGTGTTTTTTTTGCAGTAAAGAGAATTAAACAATATAACAGATTTCCTGAGAGGGGTGTATTGTGGAATCAATGCTGTTCACAGCTTCTAATGCCCAGTTACAGACATCTGCCCAGGTTTGTTTGGATACACTTCATCTCACCCAGAAAGGTGACTGGGTGGCTGCCTCAGCTCCCTTCTGGCCTCGATTCCAGTGACAGTGACTCTGAGTCTTTCAGATAGTCACAGCAGGACAGGGGTTGCCCTGTAACTGTTTCAACAGCCTCTAGTGCAATGGAAGGCAAATGGTTTGAAGGCTGTAGCTTCTAACACAGATGTTCACTAATGCTGTTCTATCAAAAGCTTTATGTCCAAGTCCAGCCAGTTCTCCTTCTGTTCATCAGAGGGGAGGAGAGCACATGCCCTTCTGCTGTCAGTCATCGCTGATGGGGGAGGTTTACCAGAGACATCTGGTGTGTTACAGAGCTGGGGTGGAAGAGTAGCAGTGGGATGCTCCAGAGTGGTGTTGGGATCTGTCTCTCTTTTGTTCTGTGCAGATAATGTTGAACTCCCTGCACAAGTACGAGCCCCAGGTACACATTGTCCGCGTGGGGGGCCCGCACCGCATGGTGCTGAACTGCTCCTTCCCCGAGACACAGTTCATAGCTGTGACTGCCTATCAGAATGAAGAGGTAGGTGGATGCCACACTGTGCTCTTGCTTACCACTGAGGAGATGTGTTAAAAGCTTATTAACTGCAGGATTGGCATGGGCAGACTGGTCCTTTTCTTGTTTCCTCACTGGTCCCATGCAGTGTAGTGCTCCATCCGCTCTAGTCCTCTGCCTGCTCTCTGCAGCAGGGCATTGTCTCATCTAGTGTCTGGCTCCAGTACAAACCAGGTTTAGCTTAATATCCTGCTACAGCTATTCCAAACTGGTCCATCTGTCCTGGCATCCCAATCCCTTACTGGAAAAAAAACCCCAAACCCCACAGTCACATCAAATCTCTCTCCAGCCATGACTGATAGTTCTAATGACAACCCTACCTCTCCCTATTTCTTATAATACAAACAGTTGGAGAGCAGAGCAACCTTCCATGGGAATATTTCTTCCCAAAATGTAATTGAGGGATGCTTTGGATTGTGACAATGGGTAACCCATCTGCCTCATCCCTTAGCTAGAGCTGCTGCAGATTTGATTCATGCTTTGTAGCAATTCAGTGTTTGATCTCTCTTGAAAGCATCCACCATCCCACAGGGTTTGCCAGGCTGGCCCATGCCATGAGGCTGCCCTGACTGGTGTTCTGCAGAGCTCTCCCCTAACCAGCCCTGAAAACATTGTGTGTGGGGATATATTTTATTAGGCTAACTAAGGCAGTTCCACTTAGTTTACTCTAGAAGATGTTTTGTCACGTTTCTATTCCAAATTGCCTTCACTAACATGCCTTGTTTTCTGTAAACTCAAGATAACAGCTCTCAAAATCAAGTATAATCCCTTTGCCAAAGCCTTCCTGGATGCAAAAGAAAGGTGAGTTAATATTATTTTTTTTTCCTCCAGTAGCATTTTGCTGCTGAAATAGTTAAAACTGTGGCGTCACAATGTGAAAAATAAATTATATGACTTTAATCCAGTTTCTGCTGTCTTAAATCCAGAGTCACTCCACTAATATTAGTGGGGACACTATCCAATTGTTACAGCAGAGTCTGAAGTAGATAACTGTCTTTTTTGGGGTCCTGGGACTTAGCACTATCTACAGAGGAAGCCTGAAATGAGATGGTGTGAACTTCCCTAGTAATGTTATACACTGTGTTCACTACATGGTAGTTACATGCTAATGAACCCCATAATTTGATAGCTCAAGAACAAAAGTTAACTGCAGATGTTGAAAAGCATAACTAAAGGGAAATTGGGCTCTTAACACTAATGTAACTACACTGATGATATGAAATCTGTGTGATAATGTGTTGTGTGTTTATTAAATGTAACCTACAGGTGTGAGATAGATGAGATGCTAAAGATGCTTCCATCAGAAATAAATCATGGTTAATCTTTCAAACTTTTACTTGCCTCATCCATGCTGTTGCAGTGGAGCATCCAAATTCTGTATTCCAGTCCTTAATGGCCAATAAATTTTGTTTGGACCTGCTCTGTCTTCTGACATATAACGTGTCCCACGTGCCTGCAGGATAACCTGTATTTCTTTCCATTCCTCTCACCACTTAAGAAGCTCCTTTTATGGCAGACTGCAGAAAAATCTACTGCTGTCTAGCAAGTGGTGAAAGAAGATGGATTTGTCTCTTTTTTAACTTTTCCATTTTTTTTTCAGTGAATCATTCTGGCTTTAACTTCCTCTTGTAATTCCTCTGTAAGAAGTTTTACCACTAAACATTTTGCTTTTCAGAAACCATCCCAAGGATGCTCCAGAAACAGTCTCTGAAGGTCAACATATGACATATTCTCACTGTAAGGCTTTTATTCATGTCAGGTGAAGTTTTATGTGATGTGATATGATAAGTACTGGGACCTGTTGCTTAACTGGATCATACCAGTCACTCACTGAGTCCTGAATTGTGTTCATTGAAAGAGAGCCTTTAAAAATAAAATAAGACTGAAGAAACCACACAGAAGAAAATACTGCAACAGTTTGTGCAGAGGGTTCATTTTCCTTGTGATCCAGTTTTTCAAAATGAAAAGGAATCTAGAATCAAGATGATGTATGACATTTTTAGGGCTTTTTTTTACTTTTTTTTTTTGTATTTGTAACTGTGAATATTTTAGTCACCTATAAAATTACCTTTCATTGGTGAACAGGTAAAAAAATGGGGGCAGCAGAGGCCGTATTCACTTTAATGATAGTTTTCATTTGTTCTCTGTTGCTTGTGGCAATTTCCTGTTAGTTGTTTTCTGGTCTTGTTTTTAGGGTTGGTGGGTTTGGGATTTTTGAGGTTGGTTTTGGTTTTTTGATTGTCATTTTTGGCTTTTTTGATTGACATAAGCCTGTATCTTTTGAATCTGCTTGGCATTTCTCTGGCACACCTGACTCTGCAAGGCTGGTTACTTTATTGTATCCCAGTGTTTTAGCACTGTAATACTTTTCTTCTCTCTCTCCCCTCAAAGTGGGTGGCTGGTTGATTTCCAACCCAGACACAATGTGTGCATCAGGAAGCTCTAATTATCAGTACACTGGACCTTTGTCTCTGCCAGCTCCACACAATCCCCACAGCTGTGAGAGATACCCAGCACTGCGAGGGCATCGGGCTGCTCCCTACCCCCCTTCCTACCTCCAGAGAAATCATTCACCTACAGGTACAACTCCAATGCTGCTGATTCCAGGGAACAGACATTCTCTGCTTGACTGGCCCCTGCTTTAGGTAGTATAAGTATTAAAACAAGAGCTGAGGCCACCTACAGGTACAACTCCAATGCTGCTTGATTCCAGGGAACAGACATTCTCTGCCTGACTGGCCCCTGTTTCAGGCAGCATAAGTATTAAAGCAAGAGCTGAGGTTAGGAAAGAGCACCACGAGTCTCTGTAACAACCTGCACTTGAGCCATGCATGCACAGAGTATGTTCTGTAGCTGTTAATTATAAATGAGGGAGAATGATCTTGCTTAAAGCACAACTCCTAGTTATACAAAAAGAGCACTGAAAGCCTTCTCTCAATGTCATGCCATGAAGCAATTGTGCTCTCAAGTTGAGAATATGATAGGAGCTGACTTGAGATGAGTTTTGGTACTGAGTCCTTTTCTCTAGATCTGGCTGTTGGGTTCCCAAGATTGACTCTACTTTGATCAGAGGAAATTGGCTAGAAAAAAAAAGAGTAAGGATAAAGTCATCTGCTTGCTAATTATAATTTAGCATGACATGCTGTTTAACAGAAATATTTAAGCTCAGGTTATAACAAAATCTGTATCAAAATGTTGTCAGTTATATGGAAATTATCATTAATGAAAAGACTCTTATTCAGACTTGCAAAACTGCATAGCCTCTGTCTATCATGCTCTACCTTCTCATATTCATATTTTGCCTGGAATTACAATGGCAACTTCCTACTCTTTTAATAAACACATGAATTTTGTCCTTCCCTGTGACTGGGAACCTCACAATCAGATTGCTCTCCTCAGGCATACCTGTGTTCTGTTGCCTTAAAACAATCTCTCTGCAATAGTCACTGAGGATTTTTTGTTGCTTTTCTTTTCTTCCCCACCCTCAAAGTTAATTTGTTGGAGAGCTCCAGCAATAATCTTCAGGTATTCTCAGGACATGACAGCTGGACTTTGCCATCCTCTCCACATGCTAATTTGCTGCCAGTGCCACACACGAAGGGAGCTGCCAGCCCTGGAGCCAGGTAAGGGGGTATGGGAAAACTGCTGGTATTGTAGGACTGCCCTGGTGATTCACAACTTCTTCCAGGATTTGAAACATGTCTTAAGTGCCCAGCTCAAGATTCCTGGACAGATCTTCCCTACTGGCTAATTATCTCCACTGTAAAATCAATGGGAGCTTTGTTTTTCCCCAGCACTCCTAAAAAACCAGTATCTTGGAACAGCCACAGAGAACTCTGCTATCTACAATCTGTGAGAGTTTTAAAGCTGAATTATTTTTCTGTATGATTTCTTGAGTAGTCTCCTGCATAAAATGAGGGTCCTACTTCCATATGGGGAAAGTAACAACCTAATTCATGTTCTTGTATAAAAATATTGTTAATAAGGTAGAAAATGGTTTAGGCATGGCTGGAATTTAGACCTATAGAGTCAATTAATTATCAAATATTTCCCCTCCTTTTCTCAAAATAAACACACACATTTCTTCTTTGATTTAGGTGCCAGGAAAATCAGCTGCAACTCTTTAAAATTTGTAAGCACTCATGAAAAAAAAATCTTTAAATCTTCACACGTATTTGTGCATTTCTCTCCATGCCTCTCCCCAGGCTCACTGAATCTGATGAGTTGCTGGTAGTTTCTCACTTAAGATCTGCAAGGCTGGTCTAGTTTAACTCAATTTGCATAGCTGCCTTTTAGCAGATAACGAGCTTTACTGTGGTTAAGTCTTGTGCTGGGGGAAAATGCCTTGAAATAAGCCATTCAATTTGTGCTGCTTTTTTTTTCCCCAGCCACTACCCTTGCCTGTGGACGGTGAGCAACAGTGCTGTCAATGTTGCCAACCCAGGGAGTGAGGTGAACAGCAGCCCCTCAAGCATGTTCCTAAGGGGTAATGTGCCCCTACCCCCTGCATCATCAGTCCAAATGCCTCGGCAGGGCATGGTGTCCAGCAGCATGGAGACACAAGGGGAAAGTGCTCTGGCCAGGCTGCCCGACTCGGCGTGGACATCCTCACACTCCTTCTAAGGGACAGGCAGCTCAGGAGAGCAGCTCAGCCAAACAAGACTGACACAAATCATCCCCTAAAATCCCTGCTCAGAGCAGGGGGGTGTGCACAGAAAACAGACTCCATCAAACATCACTTTCCATCATGTACTTCTTGTGTGCATAATGCAAAGGCAGGAAGGGTCATGGGAGCCAGCTTATTACTGTAACCTTTGTGTGTCATTCAGGATGATGTCCAGAAAGAACCTTCATAGTTTTGCTTCTATATCACATAAAAAATGGTCAGAGACAGGGGACTGAGTGAAGCAGACATGCAGCTGGATATTTGCATATCCATTAAAAGTCCTTTCTGTAACTACCAGCCAAGTCTGGGGGAAATTGTGACCAAGTTCACAATGTAGGAGTTTGGCATTTTGAAGGGGCAGTGCTGCTTTAAAGACTTTCCTAACCTATGATGTGAAGGTTTTCACAATACCTAGAACCAAACCCTTCAGGAGATGAATAATCTGAGACCCTAATGCCACCTTCATACAGCAGTTCAAATGTTTTCTATACATGTTATTTTGTAAAAGGTGGAGGGAAAAGAGTTATCAACAAAAGATTCAGCTTGCATTTTCACTTTGCTTCAGGTACAGAGTACAAATAAAATACAAATAAATGGTGTATTATCTCCTCAGTGCCATTCCAAGGGTTAACACACATACAGTCTTTTTCACCTCACAGTGTTTAGAGCAATTTGAAGCAGCTTTGCCAGAAGCATGTAGGCAGGACAGGAATTTTTCTATTCCCTGTATGCTCCTGGGTATGGTATTTCCTATCTTTGTACCTCATTCCTCTCCCACCTTCTTTCTGTTTCAGCTTTCTTTTCCCATCCTCTCTGAGTGTACAACACCTGGCATAAGTGGAGGGCTGATCATGTCTTGGATTTTTAACTGCTAGTGTGATGTGGGTAATAACCTCTGTCCCCCAGTCTGCCCTGTCCTCTCATTCACCTCCTCAGGCAAGCCCCTTCAGCTTCACAGAGCAGAGTGCTGCAGGGGTGAAGAAAAGACTGCAAGCTAACCCCTGTGGATATGGCTCTTGTAGAATGAAGTGCCCAACAGCAATTCAGTTTTGTTTACTGCTATGAGTATTGATGGGGGGGCTTGATGGAATCCTCACCATAGGCATAGAAAAGGATCCTCCAAAGCTCCTGTGAGGTGGTGTCTCTACAGAGGTGTTTCTGCTTCTGCCAAATATTCCCTTTGTACATACTCATTTATTGCATACAGGCCCTGGGAGCAGCATTTTATTTTGGGTAGGCATTAGGAGCAGCAGCAAGGAGAACACTTTGATTCAGGCCATCAAATATACATCTGCCTGGTGAACTCAGCAAGCTCCTGTTTCATGTTCTATTACCTTGGCCTTGAAACATCTTCTGGAGGTGCTCTCTCAGTGTTATGCATTTTCATGACTTCCCCATCTGGCCTTTGAGATTTGCTGCAGGCAAGACAGAGTTCCAGGAAGCACTCAGGAACACTGTTAGTTTTAAGGATTTGTGCTGCTATCCCAAATGAAGTCACTTTGGATGTGGATTTTTATTAATTAGTAGAGGCATTGGTCAAACAGGAGGTGACAGAGGGTCCAGTGGCCCACTGTCAGTTTAATCCCTGTCAATCCTGACTGTAAAGCTCCTTCCCACTTCTGTCAAAAGCTTGGGGATGAGTTTCTCAATGTTAAATTTCTCTACAATGCAGCCAGAAATACAAGGAGGTGTTTCAAAAATAACTCTGCTTTACAGATGAGCTTTATTAACTAACTTATGCTACCCTCTTCTGGCTGTTCAGCTCCCCACATACATACCTCATTCTGAATCTATATAAGCTGGTTATAGATGCTTAAAAAAAAGCAAGTGGTGACTTCTCTGTGTCCCAGCACTTCCTATGCCTCCTTCCTTCATGGTTAATGAGCTGGATAATTTCTTAGTTTTCCCACATATTACAGGAACAGAATGGTGATGATAAGGTGTTGCACACAAACTGCTTTTCCTTTGGGGTTTGTTTTCCTGGCACTGGGGCAGGTGTCCTCCCAAGGGTCAGCCTCTGGGTATGCCCATGGAAGGGTGAAGTTTTTCCTTCAGAAGGTGGCCTACAGCTCCCCAGGTAGCTCCCATTTTAAGCCTTGCAGGGAGGGCTGGTGCCTCTTGACCTTTGAGTGGTGTGGCACGTGCTCAGCAGCCTGGGTAGACCCATTGCTAAAAGCTGCACCTCCTGTGCTTTGGTGTCTCCTGGCTGGGTCCTCCTCCACGAGGAGTTGCTCCAGCCCTTGTGCCTCACCTCAGGCACCTGCCTGTATGCCAGCAGAGGGGCTAGGCAGCTTCAGATGTTCAACCACATCACTGTGGAGTTTTAAGGGAGCATCACTCCCTGACAGCAGATAAACAACAGCATCTTGAAGTCCCCAGAACCAGCCCAGATGCTTCTTGGTGAGCAAGCCCTGGGCACCCATCAAAACAGATACCTCTATTGCCCACAGAGAACAAGCAGCAGGTAACCTCCTCTGAAGTGAACTTTCCATGTTTGCACCCCTGTTTCACCCCCTGAGTGGGCTGTAACCTGCCCTCCCCAGGGAATCCTGCCCCTGTGCTTGCACTGGACCCCATGTGGCTGGTCACCAGCCCTGTGAGTCTGCTCGCTTCCTCTCTCAGAGTGGACTTGACCAAGGTGTTTCTGAGTCCACAGATCATCAAGATTACAAATTTTCTGGTGTTTTGGGGATTGTTCGGTGAGGATGTCCTGCCTGCTGCAGAAATGTTTTAGAATTACAGAATCCTAGGATCATTAAGGTTGAAAGAGACTTCTAAGATCATCAAGTCCAAACCTCAACCCAACACTACTATGACCACGTACTGAAGTACCAGGTCTACATGTTTTTTGAAGGCCTCCAGGTATGATGACTCCACCACCTCCCTGGGCAGCCCATTCCAGTGTCTAACCACTCTCTCAGTCAAGAAATTCTTCCTAATAGCCAATCTAACTCTCCCTTGGTGCAACTTGAGGCCATTTCCTCTTGTTCTATTGCTAGTTATTTGGGAGAAGAAACCAACATCCACCTCGCTGCAACCTCCTTTCAGGTAGTTGTAGAGAGCAATAAGTTGTCCCCTCAGACTCCTCTTCTCCAGCCTAAACAATTCCATTTCCCCCAGCCTCCTCATAAGACATGTTCCCCAGACCCTTCACCAGCTGTTGCCTTTCTCTGGACCTGCTGCATCACCTCAGTGTCCTTCTTATCCTGTGGTGCTCAAAACTGAACCCAGTACTCAAGCTGTGGCCTCACCAGTGCTGAGTCCAGGGACAACATCACCTCCCTACTCCTGCTGGTCACACTGTTTCTGATCCAGGCCAGGATGGTCTTGACCTTCTTGGCCACCTGGGCACACTGCTGGCTCATGTTCAGCTGGCTGTCCACCAGCACCACCAGGTCCTTTTCTGCCTGACAGGTTTCCAGGCACTCATCCCCAAGCCTGGAGCATTTCCTGGGATTGTTTTGACCAACGTGCAGGACCCAGCACTTGGCCTTGTTAAACCTCATCCAACTGACCTTGGCTTGTTGATCCAACCTGTCCAGATCCCTCTGCAGAGCCTCCTGACCCTCAGCACTCCCACTCAGTTCAGTGTCATCTGTAAATTACTGAGGGTGCACTCAATCCCCTCATGCAGATCATTGATAAAGATCTTAAATAAGACTGGCTCCAAACCCAAGCTCATGACTCACTGCCAACTGGATTTATCTCTTGCAACAGTGGCCACACAGAGTTCTAGCTGGCCTTTTGCCTTTCTGATGTTCTTTCTGCATGACCTAACTAGATCCCTGTACTCTTCTGAAGTTGCCTGCCCCTTCTTCCAAAGGTGGTAAACTCTCCTTTCTTTCCTGAATCCCAACAAAAGCTCCCTGTTCATCCAGGCCAGTTGTCTTCCCCACCAGTCCATGTTATGACACATGGGGCAGCCTACTCCTGTGCCTCTAAGACTTTCTTCTTGAAAAACATATAGCCTTCCTGGACCCCTTTGCCTTTCAGGACTAACTCCCTAGGGACTCTCTTGACCAGTGTCCTAAACAGGCCAAAGTCTGCCCTCTGGAAGCCCACGGTAGTGATTCTGCTGACCCCACTCCATACTCCACCAAGGATCAAAAACTCTATCATTTCATGGTCACCAAGCCCAAGACAGCCTCCAACCACCACATCACCCACCAGTCCTTCTCTGCAAACAGCAGATCTAGTGAGGCACCTCCTCACTATCCTGCTGCACAGTGGCTTCCAGCTCCTCCTGTTTGTTGGCCATGCTGGATGCATTGGTAGATGCACTTGAGCTGGGCTCTTGATTTCACCCCCAACACTGGCATGCCAAACTTAGGCTCATGGCTAGCAAGCCTGGTTTTATTGCCTTCCCCCTTTGAGCCTGGTTTAAATCCCCCTCACTGAGCCCTGCCAACTCATGGGTGACAATCCTTTTCCCTCTTTGAGACAGCTGAACTCCAGCTGTCACCAGCATGCCCTGTGCCATGTAAAACTCCCTGTGATCAAAAAAACTCATCTTTTTAAAAGCCAGATCCTGTTAGCATGTACTACCCTCTAGGAGGACTGCTGTATACTGCAGCTGAGAGATACTTTGCTGTAATCTGTGATTGTTAGTCCCTGCTTCCCTCCTGCTTTCCCAGTGTGGGCTCTCCACAGCAGTGCATCATTCCCCTCGGAGGAACTATTGGCTGAGATCTGGATTGGATTTTTTTTTGCATCTCACATTTCTGGAGTATCTATAACTTTGTGTTCCACACAGAGATGAACTATTTTTGCAAAAGATGGATGATTGTTTGAGTCTGAAGTGCTATGCTGTTCGCAGGGTAAGCAGAAGAAATCTGCTTCTGTGTTTGGATTCAATCAAGCACTGGAGCAATCAGAAGTTTTCTTAGGAGACAGCAATTTTCTGAGTGAGATCAGTTTCCACAGTCTTAGCTGCTTAAGAAAGTTTTGTCACATCTTC